AGTTCATAACCCACTTCAATCTAATGTATGAAATATGATATGTCAAGAGCTTTGTAATGTTGTGAACAACCAATAAAAAAATTAAAAATTAAAAAAAATATATTACTGATGGTACAGAGATAATAATAATACCTTATAAACAGGTTACTTTGGCTGAAAAATATTTGATGAGATTGATCTTCCATTTATCATTTTGCTTGTGATCTTTAACAGATTAAATTTATGTTAATAAAGTATTTTATGATGATGTTCCTTTGAAAATTAACTGCAATATTCCTTTTCAAATCACCTTTATCTACATTTTTAATATTTTTAAATTGTAGATAAATGTAATACCTTTATTTTATTTATGTTATTTTTATGTGATGATAAGGATCAAACCCAGTACCTCACAAGTGCTGTCCACTGTGCTACATCTCCAGCCAAATTTATTATATTTAATTACATGTAAATATGCTCATATACTAACAGTATAGTAAACTATTTTGAAATGTGGCTGTCTTTGAGTTTGAGAAGGGGCAAAAAAGGAAAATAATTTTGGAGTATTGGTAATGTTTGGAAACTTATTTTTAATTTATTGTATTTCTGTAATTCTTTTCTATTAGTAGATCAATAGAATGGTCTTGTGTATCTTTCATTGTTATTTCTCACTTCTGTCTATGGGGTTTATCATGCAGAAGTATATTATCAGAAATTAATAATTACAAGGAAATGTTTTAATTTAACATCTGTACCAGATGTGACATATTTAAAACAATTGATAAACATTTTTCAGTGGCATATGGTCTGAGTCTGACATGCTTTGAAAAGAGTACAGAGTTCTGATAATGAGGATTCTGTGAAAATGGGAAAACCAGCATAACAGATATGCTTTGAGAAAGTATGGGTTTTTAGCATCTTGAAACAATATATCACACTCAAAAGGACAGAATTGGGCTCCACAATCTGTTAGCTCATTCTTGTCCAATCTGGTCTCCTCCTTTCTTTTGGAGCCAACGTTGTCATCGGCTCACTGAATTATATTCTGACTGGAATGTATTTCAGGCACAGAGTAATGTGTCTACTTAAATGGAATCCTATCTTTCTATAAAAGTTTTTTGAGTATAATAAATTTAAAATATAAAAAAAATTCTATTAAAGTAAGTGATTCAACAGTTTACATATGTGCCTATTCCCCTGTTGCCCTAAAAAAAAGAAAGACCACTACTTTGAGCAACATAGATGTTTTTCTTTTATGTATAATTTTGAGTAAATTTTTATTTAACTATTAGGTGAATAGACATATTGCAAAGGCTGTTTAATATGAAAATATCTATACATTATAAAATATATTTGTTTAACAGAAATTAACGAATAAAAAGTTCTCTATTGAAGTTTTTTATTATGATCCTTATTAATTCTGTACAGCTCGTCTTAACAAGAATTAACCCTTAATGCCCTCAGGCATCCATTTTTTGTAATAAATAAACTTGTCTCCTACCCATCTAGTATGGTACTAGCTATTCTTGGAAAAGTTGAGATGGTAACCCAAACATTTTTATAGGCCTTTTTTTTTAATATTTGTTTTTCAGTTTTTGGTGGACACATCTTTATTTTTTTATTTTTATGTGGTGCTAAGGATCAAACTCAGCGCCCCACGCATGCCAGGCGAGCGTGGTACTGCTTGAGCCACATCCCCAGCCCACTATAGGTCTTAATTTTGTTATTCAATCAGGATTGAGAAAGGCTATTATTAATATTCAAAAATCACTGAGACTTTTAATGTGAATCATACAGAGTTGTACAAATTAATTAGATGTTATGTTAGAACTGTATTGCCTTATATAAAGGATTAAATTAGATGTTATGTTAGAACTGTATTACCTTATATAAAGGATTAAATGAGATAATCTTTGTAAAGAGATAAACACAATGACAGACACATTGTAAGTGCTCATAAATGACATCTATTATCATATTTTAAGCTTTCATTGTCTGAAAATTTTCCTAAAAATTTTTGGTTGTATTATGATGTTTTGATCAAGAAGAAATTTAGTTTGAACTACAGAAATAGTTTTAAGTACAGGAAAATGTGTGATTTGATCCAAGAAATTATATTTTCACATTTATGTAGGCTGTCTTATTCATTTTATGCTTAATAATTGAGTAACAACAATAAATTTTGTATTTTTATTGCGATAATTTATAATTTTTCCACAGAAACCATCTAATAATAAATGAAGTGTTTTTTTGTGATTGTCCTCATGAGCATTTTAAGTCTTTGCCATTCAAATAGACAAATATTTCTTTTTACTGTATTGATTTATGTGAGAGTGGGTGTGGAAAGAATGAGAAATAGCTAACCTTCCCTGATGCAAAGACAGGATGTTATAATGCCTCTCCAGACCTCCTGCCATAGGATCCTTTCACTTTTCATTGAAAAATGATACATTATCTTTTAGGTATGATTGGCATTGCCATAGGGCACTATTAAATACACAAGTTATATGTAGCTACTTGAGTTATAAAGCTGAAAAAAAATCCATGGAAGTAATTTTTAGAGCAAGAACATCAGTGAATAATTCCTGATAGTGTAAATTGAAGATACTTTATGCAATGACCTATTGAACAAAAAGAAAATGGGTAATAAACACCTTTCTTTATAGTATACACTTGCAGACAGCTTACATATGCTAATTTTAAAGTAAAGTTTATTTATGTTAATAATCTCCATATTCCTGTTTAGAGGTTCATAAAGTAAATAATGTGGAAATATCAGGTGACCACAGTGTATTATGAAATAATAAACTGCTGGTACTGCATTTAACTCAGTGAAAGTTGATAAGTAACATAACATTTCTGATGTAGATGTCATTAAAATATCACTTAGTTGGTGCAGTACTTTTTATATACTCATTATTAAGCTAACCTTCCTATTTTATGGATTATTGGTGTAAAACAGTTTGTTTATACATAAACATGCTTTTTAAGTTTCTTTTTGATTATTGAAAATAAAATAAGGATAAAACAGTTGAAGTAAAGAACTATATAGCCAATGTTTCTAGTATAATTGATTAGTCATTAGGATAAAATGCCTGATTTTTCACTGTAATTTCTATATGGCAATTTGATCTTATGCATTTTTACCAAAATGAAATAGCCAATTGAAGTTTTTCTAATTGAAGATTTTGAACTACTTAATGATTTATGCATAGCCAGAAAATTAAATGAGAGGAGGAGGTCAATAGAAGAGAAAATAGAAATGAGATCTGAATGTTAGTTTTTCATACTTCTATTTCAGGTGTATAAAAACTATCCATGCACTTATTTTCACGTTCTTCTCTACTATTGAATACTGTTGCGATTTGATGATAAATCTGTAGAAATAACTGAAATTTCTCCTTCTTTTAAATTCTCATATTTTTTCAGATTACTTGTTCTCTGCATTACTCCCCTCATGGAGTTGCCCAGAAAGAACTTCCTGTGTTGCACCTTAGGTCATTCTCTGCTTTAAGGACAAGTTGAGATCTGTCATTAAACAAATCTACTTAGTTCTTTACAAGGAATAAGTTTTATAAAATAATAAGAAGAAGCAAAAGAAGATGATGATGATTAGCGTCTTGTTGCCAGTCATTCAACTTGTATTTGCATTGAGTATTTTCCATGTAGAATGAAAAGTGATAGAATATTCAAAGGTATTTATAGAATATGAGTTTCAAAAACCATTTAGACATATTACAATTTAGTGAGCTAAATTGAGACTGGAAATAAAATCTGTCTAAAAATATAAAAAAAGTAGAAGATGAAAAAAATTTCAATATAGTGAAGTTACTATTTATAATAGATAAGAATTATATAACCAATGTTTCTAGTATAATTGATTAATTATTAAGAAAAATAAACTGATTTTTCACTATAATTTTTATATAAAAAGAAGTTACAAGTAATTATTTAAACTTAAAAATTAAACTATAACAAGTTGAACAACTAACACATGAATATTATTGTATGTTTTTGAGGAAACTTTTCTAAGCAATAAGATATAAGGGAATAATTTAAAACTTCATGTCCATAAAGTTAAAAATACATGTAAGTAAAATGAAGTATGGAAAGAGCTTGATAAAGATATTTATATAATGGAGACAGAATGCACGTACACTATCACAAGTAATAAGAAATAAGCTATTATATCCACTTAATATGAAAAAGTCATTTACCAAAGAGAAAATCTGTGAATGTGGAAAGTGTTTAACTACATTATTGATCAAACAAATACAGAGTAAGCAAAAATATCCCAGTTTAATATCTACTGATATTCAGAAGTTTTAAGAGTAAAGTAACATGGAGATACTGATATGTTTATATGCTTCTGTATGAAATCAATTTTGAATAGCCATGAATGTTCTTAAAACATATTCATATTCATACCTATTACAGAATATTTATATTGAGCTAAGAGGATCTGTTATTACACAGCCTTGACGAAAATTAAATACATATGTAAGACTGCTATTATTATTTCTAATATACAGATAGATACTAAGGCTCAGACAGGTCATGTGACTTGTTCAAGCTCACAGAGTTTACTAAGAAAATGAAAGTTGGAAAAATTTATGTACATCTAGGGAGATATGACTGATTCTTTTGTCATTTTTATATATATTTTCTAAATTTCTGACACTAAGCCAAAAGGAGGACTAGGACTTTTATATAACAAGAGATGAATGGAGACACAAATATTATAGGCAATATCATATCATTTGTAATAGTTTTTAATCATTAAGAGGATAATCCCATTTGTCTACAGATTTTTTTCCTTGTTTCGTAAAAATAAGATAACATTATCTGCATTTAATTTAGAACATATATTCTTACCAACTCTTCTTTTTAATGAACTTTAATCAAAGCTGTAAACAGAATCTTCATTTTATGCCCATACAATGTCATAAAAGAATCAATTCTTAAAATGAAAAATTTTAAGTTAATACACCTACATCTTGTTATTTTATTTTCATTTGTAGATGGAAAACATCATTGGAACAGTACGAGATTCCAACCTGAAGTTGACACTTGCTTTTGGAATAGGAATGCATCATGCTGGCCTCCATGAAAGGGACCGAAAAACAGTAGAGGAACTATTTGTGAACTGTAAAGTTCAGGTACTTTTTTTCTCCAATGAGTACATATTTAAAAGTAACCTAAAAGTTATATGTTACTTAGATATAATATCATCTTTTATTTTTAGGTTCTTATTGCTACAAGCACGTTAGCCTGGGGTGTAAACTTTCCAGCTCATTTAGTAATTATTAAAGGAACAGAATATTATGATGGAAAAACAAGACGTTATGTGGATTTTCCCATTACAGGTAATTTTTTTTTAATTTACAGAGATACCTTAAGTTTCCTGTTTAGCCTTAACAACTTAAATTTTCATGAGTTAATATGTGTACCTCCTGTTTTAGCCTTCACAATTTAAATGGACTCAAGCATGCTAGACAAGTGCTTTATCACTGAGAAATACCCCATTCCTTTTTGTTTTATTTTACAACAGGATATCACTCAGTTGCCCATCCTGGCCTCAAACTTGTGACCCTCTTGCCTCAACTTCTCAAATAGCTGGGATTATTAATTAATTTTATTGAGAATTGGTCACATTTAAACATACAGTAAGCAAATTTGTAATAATAATAGAATGCAAAACACTGAGCTGTTTTATTTACTTTAACTTACCCAATTTGTTAATAAGCACTAAAAATATAACTGATGCTTCCAAATTCATAAAGTACTATGAGAAATTATTAGTGATAAAAAATCTTTTGATTAAGCATTTAGTGTTTAATTTTAAATGCATTTCACCAGAAATGATAACTTTCATGGGACTTCCAGAACCAAAGCACTTATTGCTATAATGAATGCATGAGCAGTCTATGAAGATATTTTAAATTTTAATAAAGTCATTTTCAGTTGGTTTTGAAGAGGGATATATATTCAATATACATTTCTACTCAATGAATGCATGTAAAACTTTATCATTTTTAAGCCATTGTTTATGTCAGATTCCTGCAGTATAAAAGAATTTTTATCCCATGTACAGGAAAAAGACAAGACCTAAATAAATACATTATTCATTGTGGAAAATAATAAAAGGGCTTCACTAAAGAGATTTTTCTATATAAGTTTTATGATTTTCTGTTTAATTAAAATAGTAACATTTCTTACTCAACGTCATTTATCATTTAACTAAAGGAGACTATCATCTTTTAATAGTGCCAAACACCTTTTGGGGAACTCAATATTACAACATAGTAACTTTCTAATTTGTCCTAACTTTTCTGAGTAAATTATATTAACTTAGCAAACTTAATAATAGCCATCACAAATAGAATATGTACTCTTAAAATATTGTTTCCTTTGTTATTTTGTTGTAGAAGCATGCCCTCATCATTAATTCATACCTTCTACCATGTGCCACTTTGTAGAATATCTCTTGTTTTACAGATGTGCTCCAGATGATGGGAAGGGCTGGGCGCCCTCAGTTTGATGACCAAGGCAAAGCTGTAATTCTGGTTCATGATATTAAAAAAGACTTTTACAAAAAATTTCTGTATGAACCTTTCCCGGTAGAGTCAAGGTAAATTTTGCTTTAAATTAATTTAAATGGGATTTGTTTTGTAGCAAGTTTTAGTGTTTTTCTGGTTACATTTTATTACTTAAAAATGAGTAAAACTTGTAGTATAAAAGAATTACTCACTGTGAAACATTGTAATTATCCCAGTAATACTTAATGATAATTTTTATTTTTAAAAAATAACATTTTAAGGAGCTGGGGAATGGCTCAGTTGATAGAGTGCTTGCCTAACATTCACAAGGCTCTAGGTTCAATCCCCAGCACCACCAAAAAGAAAAGAAATCTTAAAAATAAATAAATAACATTTTAAGAGAACAAATACAGTACCATGTGCAGCCAAATTGGCTCTGGAGTCAGATTACCTGTATTGAAATCTGAGCTCAGCCACCTATTTGCTCAATATTGAGCAAGTTATTTAATTTCTCAGTGCCATGGGCTGCCTATCTGTAAATGAAATTATAACCATAATAATAGAGTTAATATCTAAAATAAGGGATATGTAATTAATAATTTAGGTTGCTAATTTATTTCAGAATTATCCCATGCTTCTTTATGGACCCAATAACTACTACTACTGCTGCAAAATCTTCCCTTATTTTCATGGTTGAAAATAACCCTTTCTTCCTCAGATTTATATTTTCTCATATACAACACTTTTCACATTCTACCTTTTATCATAGTGCTTTTCTATATACTCTCCTTTACTTTAGTATAGTCTGACTGCATTGAGGACAAACATGTTTTTCATTTATATTGTATGTTGTTGTTGAATCCTAAATGCAAATAATGTTTGTTTTTTTAATTTGAAAAATAAGCATTAAATGCTGTGAAATACAGCTAAAACTATGCTAAGAGAAAAATTATGACCAAAAATTTATATGTTAAAAAAGAAAAAATGAAAAATTAGTTATCAAGATTCTGTCTCAAGAATTTGAACATCAGCAAATTGAACTCAAAGCAAGACAACATAAAGACAAGAGCCCAGTGTGGTGGCTCATGCCTATAATCCTAGTGGCTCAAGAGTGAGGAAAGAAAATCACATGTTTAAAGCCAGACTCAGCAACATAGCAAGCTCCTGTCTCTAAATTAAAAAAAAAAAAAAAAAATTAAAGAGATGGGGAATATGACTCAGTTGTTAAGCACCTCTAGACCTCTAGGTTCAATCCCTAGTATAAAATAAGTAAATAAGAGCAAGAAGTAATAGATTGACAATAAACATGGATCAGAGAAAAGTAAAAAGTGACAGAAATTGGTTCTTTGCAAAAGATGACTAAGACTGATAATTGAATCTCAATATTAGGAATAAAATGATACTATAGATATTAAAAGGTAATAAGATAATATAAACCACTTTATATAAATAATTTTTAAATTTTAGATCAAATGGTAAAATTTCTCTTTAATCATTTATTAAAACTGACCCAATAATAAAATCTCAAATTACCTATCAAAGCAATTGAGTCTTAAATTTAAGATCTTTTTACAAAGAAATCTTCTGACCCAGATGCTTAAGTAAATTGTTCATAGCATTTAAGGAAGAAATAGCATCAGGTTTAAATGAAACTCTTCCTCCTAGAAAACATAGGCATATTTGCCAGCTTTTTTTATCAGACCAGAATAGCTTGAATGACAAAACCTAATAAGAAATTTATAAAATAGGAATGTAACAAACTGTATCTCTCATGAATACAGATGTAGAAATCCCAAACAAAATTTTAGTAAATCACCCTAAGATGTATGAAGACACGAATGGTGTGACTCTACTTCATGTACAACCAGAAACATGAAAAATTGTGCTGTATGTGTGTTCTATGAATTGAAATGCATTCTGACATCATATATAATGAATTAGAATAAATAAATAAATTTTTAAAACATATAGATGCATCAAAATTATGTTTAAAATGTCATGATACACTTTTGTATCTCCAAAAAAAAAAAGTAAATCAAAACCAGCAATATATAAAAATACATTATAGCCAAATATGGTTTGTTTCTTAAATATGAAGATTATTTGTTATCTGAAAATAGATGAATATAATTAACATTAACAGAAAAAAATGAGAAAAACCTCATAATTACCTCATCAATGTTTTTTAAAAAAGGCTTTTGCCAAATTTCCCCCCGGTTTCTTATTTAAAAAAAAAACATTGCAAGCAGGCATATAAATGAATCTCCTTAATCTTTTGTAGTATCTACAAAAAATCCACTGTAAGCATAATAATTAATGAAGAAATCAAAAGTTTTCCCTTTTGAGAAAACTGTGTATCCCTATGTAGAAGAATGATATTAGATCCCTATCTCTTACACTGCACAAAAGTCAACCCGAAATAAATCCAAGACTTAGGAATTAGACAAGAAACTTTGCAAGTGCTAGAAGAAAACGATAGGTCAACATGTCAACATTGGCATAGGCACCAACTTCCTTAACAAAGACTCCTTAAGCTCAAGAAATAAAATGAATCATTAAGTGGGACAGCATCGAATTTAAAAGCTTTTGTATAGCAAAGGAAATTGTTTGAGAGTATGAAGAAAGGTGCCTACAGAATGGGAGAAAACCTTTGCCAGCTATTTCTCTGATGAAGAATTAATATCCAGAATATATAAATAACTCAAAAATATTAACACCAAAAAATAAATAAGTAAACCAATTAATGAATTGGGAAAAAAACTAAACAGACTTTTCTCAAAAGCAAAAATACAAATGGCCAACAAATATATGAAAAAAATGATCAACATCCCTGACAATTAGGGAAATGCAAATCAAAACTACATTGAAATTCCATCTGATTCCAGTTAGAATGGCAGTCATCAAGAATAAAAATATGAATAATAATAATAAATATAAATAATAATAAATGCTTTCTAGGATGTGTGTGTGGGGTACACTCATACATTATGGTAGGTTTGCAAATTAGATCAACCACTTTGGAAAACAGTATGGAGATTCCTCCAAAGAATAGAAATAGAACCACCATATGCCCCAGCTATCCCACTCCTCAGTATTTATCCAAAAGAACTAAAATCAATACACTGTACTGACACAGTCGCATCCATGTTTATAGCAGCACAATTCACAATAACCTAGTTATAGAACCAACCCAGGTGCCCATCAGCAGATGAATAGATAAAGAAAATGTGGTATTTGTACATAATAGGGTTTTACTCAGTCATGAAGAAGAATGAAATTATGATATTTGCTAGTAAATGGATGGAATTGAAGAACAGGCTAAGTGAAATAAACCAGACTCAGAAAGTCAAGAGTCAAATGTTTTCTCTCATATGTAGAAACTAGACTAAAATAAGGGAAAAGGGGGAAGGGTGGAAACTCCATGAAAATAGAGGACAGATCAGTGTAAATAGAAAAATGGGATTAAGCAGTAGGATGAGGGACAGGAAATGGAAGGAACTGCAGGATGAAATTGACCAAATTATGCTGTGTACATATATGAATATAGCACAGTGAATTTCACCTTTATGTTTATCTATAAGGCACAAATTAAAACAATAAATAAACAGAAGGAAGACCAATATAGTAGAGGAAGGAAAATAGGGAAAGGAAGAGGGGAGGAAAAGAGGAAGCACTGGAGCAAAAGTGAAACAAGTTAAATTCCATGCATGTATGATTATGTCAAAATGAACCAAACAATTATGTTTAATGCACTAATAAAAACAGTTTTTTGAGTTTTCCCTTTGAAATAGGGAATGATAAAGAGCAGTGTTGTAGCCAGGTACAGGTCGCATGCCTGTAATTCCACTGGCTCTGGAGGCTGAGAGAGGATTGCGAGTTCAAAGCCAGTATCAGCAAAAAGTAAGGCACTAAGCAACTCAGTGAGACCTTGTCTCTGAATTAAAAATTACAAAATAGGGCTGGGCATGTGGCTCAGTGGTCGAATGCTCTTGAGTTCAATCCTTGGTGCCCCTATCCCCCCAAAAAAAGGAAGTTGCTTATATCACTTTTTTGGTAAACATTGTGTTAGAGTCACATGCCACTATAATAGGATAAGAAAAACAAAAGTTAGAATATCCCTTTGAGCAAGGTAGTAAAAGCATACATATCAGGAGGGTTTTCTGGGGCACTACCAATGCTTGATCTTGGTGTTGGTTATACATGTTCACATTGTTAGAATTAATTGATTTAAAGACATATAATTTGTGTAGTTTCTCTGTGTATACTTCACTATAAATCTAACTACATTTTTTAATTTCATACCTTGATATGGCCATTAATATTTTATCCATTGTAGAATATTCTATAGTTTATTTATTCATTTTTCTATTAATGTGTATTTAGAAAGTTTCCAACTTTTTTATCTTGTGTGTAATGTTGGAGTAAATCATTTTACTTTTCTGACCTCACAGGTTAATGTTTCTTTATCGGGTCTTCATGAAAAAGTGGAATTGGCTGGATCATAGTGATTATTCCAATAGATATTGTCAAGTTGCTCTCCAAAATAACTGTACCCATCTCTATTCAACTACTGGTGAATTGAGAATAATGGCCACTTTTTTTATTAGTGTATATTAATTAGTGATTTTTTCCATTCATTTTTTTCTGATTATTTTCTCATTTGGTTGCCAAAGTTATTTTTATTATCACATGAATCATAATTTATTTAGTGTTTTATTTTCTTAGGCATTGCTTACTTCTATTTGGTTTTTGTTGTTGTTGTTTGGTAGTGGTGGGTTTTTGTTTTTTGTTTTTTTGGGTGTGTGTGTGTGTGTGTGGTACAATGCATTGAACCTGGGGGATATACCACTGACTTACATTCCCATCCTTTTTTTTTTTTTAATTTTCAGACAAGGTTTTGCTATGTTGCCCAGGCTGGTCTCAAACTGTGATCTTCCTACCTCAGTCTCCTGAGTCACTGAGATTATGTGGGTGTAGCACCATTCTTATCCTTTTGTGTGTTGTATATACAAAATAAAATGAACTTTTTTGCAAGTGTTTCACCACATCTGAAAATCTTCATATATTCCACAATACCTAATATAATAATGTCTTCTTATCTATATAGGCACTTAATGTTCACCAAATAAATTTTTAAAAAATCTTTGCTCACGCCTCTCTCCTATCATCCCTTTCTTGCCAAGCTCCTTTAATCTGTACCAGTATTTATTCCATACCCTCTCGAGTACTTTATAAGTATGCTTTTCCCATTGTCTGGTCTTACCCTCTCTCTTGACTCTTCTTCTGAAAGTTACTAGTTTACTTCCTGTCAGCCTATGTTTATTTTCCATCTAGTAATTTATTTCCCTAGAATGACTTGTAGCAGTAAGTGCCTCCTATTGCATACCTACAATATGACTACTAGTAATGGCTTTCAACAAGTTATTATTACTTATTTTATTCTAGGAAAATATCATATAATTGTAGTATTTTTGTGAGACTCTGTCTCTGGCCCACTTCTTATTCACATTCAAATAAAAAATAACATACTTTTTGAAAAGAAAACAAGCATAAATTTTTATGTACTAGTTAATAATACAAGTTCTTTTTTTTTTAAAGAGAGAGAGAGAGAGAGAGAATTTTTTTTTAATATTTATTTTTTAGTTCTCGGCAGACACAACATCTTTGTTGGTATGTGGTGCTTAGGATCGAACCCGGGCCGCACGCATGCCAGGCGAGCGCGCTACCGCTTGAGCTACATCCCCAGCCCAATAATACAAGTTCTTAAGGTTCATAATACTAAGTGATTTTTGTGGTGAAAGGACATTGTAAATGTCCCTCAAATCCCCACAAAATAATTTGGAAAGAATTACTCACAAAGTATACACAAAATATATAAATTACACAAAACACATTTGTATCTTAGAATGTAAAATCTGAATCTAGACTATTTGAGATAAATCAAGTGTACTTTGTTTAATGGTCATACTTATTTTCCATGCCTTATCCACTATGCAGCTTATTAGGAGTGCTATCTGACCACTTAAATGCAGAGATCGCTGGTGGTACAATAACATCTAAGCAAGATGCAATGGACTATATCACCTGGACTTACTTTTTCCGACGTCTTATCATGAATCCCAGGTAAGTGCAGGGCTTTTTTGAAAAGAAATTATCTTTTTGTTTTACACTGGAACAAGATGTATTTGAAATTAATAAACTCTAAAATTGAATACATACCAAAAAAGTTAGAACTTTGGGCTTTGTAGGTCTATGGATTTGTCCAAAAAAGTCAGATTTGTCCAAAAATTCTGATGTAATCGCATTGCATTATATCAAAAATCAATTGGTTATGTGTTTTTGATAATTTCACTTATTTTAATTATCTTAAAGATATTTTTGAAGAGTTTGCTGTTTAGTTGGGAGTCAATACATCTGAAGCCCTTTGGAAATGTGTGAAACTATGATAGTGAAAAAATTAGGGCTGGGGTTGTGGCTCAGTGATAGAGCACTTGCCTTGCATGTGTGAGGCATTGGGTTCGATCCCCAGCACCCACATAAAACAACTAAACAAAATAAAGGTATGGTGTTCATCTACAACTAAAAATATTTTAAAAAATTTAAATTGGGGAGTGGTAGATAATTTTTATTCTTGACAGTATGTTATATCTTCATTTAGCCCCTCCTATTATCTAATATCATGCTAAACGCTTAGATGTAAAGGTAAGTACAACATCCCCTATCTTCAAGTACTGATGGTATAGTATGAAAAAACACATGTATGGAACAGGAGTAGTAATAGGTAGAAAAGATTCAGACAGAAAAATACTGTCAGAGCAAAAAGTCTCAGGGACTGAGTTAAGTGTTTAGAAAATATGAAAAAGATTGATGTACCTTAAGGAATATGGAGATTGTCTTGACAAGAAAGTGTGCGAAGGCCAGAGGGTAAAGGATCTATTGACTGTATATATCTGATCCTGTTGGAATCTTAATGGAATGATCCATTGGAAGTTCTTAAACATGGATTGATGTCACCAAATTTAGTTTTTATTTTAATACTGTGATACTATATTAGGGAATCCAATGGAATGGGGAGAAAATATACCAGTTAGAAAGTTATTTAATGATAAGATGATAACTTTAACATGCAGAGGCAGTGAAGTAAGGGTGGAATTTGAGGGATGTGCTGAAGTAAGTAAAAGAAAATTTAAAAAACATTACAAGGCCTTCAATAGAGAGACCCTAAGATATGATGCTCCACTTTGTTTTGATGAAGTTACAGTTTTATTTTTTTCACCATCCTTTTGACTACTGCCATATGGACTTCCCACCGTCATTTCAAATGTACCATGTATAAAACTGACTTAATGATAAAAGTCATCAAACTCCTCCACTAATCCAACTTTATTACTTTTGATAATATTATCACTGTATCTGTTTGCCCTAACTTCACACTCCAGACTTGCATTTTAATTTTCACTCTCCCTTGCAGCTCTCCAACTGCTTAACCTGCTTTTAGTCTATCCCTAATCTAGTCTCATTTGTAAACCATTAAATAGTATTGATCAGAAATTAAATGAATTATACAAGAGTTGGAAGCCAGATGAGGTTAGTTTTCTTTAAAATTAGATAATAAGAAGGAAATTGCTCAGTGTTTACATTTTTTTCAACCATGAGAGTGAAATGAGTCAAGAGCACAGTTGGAAACACCATTCAGAATAGGGGTCCCACAGAGAAGGAACTGGAGTAGGCATCACTCCTGTTGCTCTAGTTAGAAACTGTCTTCTATGTAATAAAACTTTGGGTAATAAACAGTAGTAATTAAGAGCAGAACAACAAGCTCAGGGAAGAGACTTATCATAATAGACAAAGGATGAAATTTTGAGAGGAAATTATACTAAGCCTTTGTTCCAGGGAATTTCTTGAGTTTTGGCATTTGTATGTCTCCTGCTTACTCATGTTTGTAATCAGTGTAGTCCATGTAAATAAACAAATATTCCTTGGTTCACATTGCCTCCCCTACTTGATATCTGATAGACATCTAAGGAAATTTGGTATTGACAATATGTTATATCTTCATTTAGTAATGACTTTGCTTAGAGTACTTAGTACATGTGGCAGCTGCTTTTCCTGTCCTCCTACTGCCCATAGGAGGATCAGATGTCCTACCACCGCCACCAAAGGGCTAGAATCAATTGAGGGAGACATTAACTCACATACTTCTAAGTAAGAGGTTCCTCTCACTGGTGCTCTTGTGATCACTCTTTTTCCTGCCTACAGTATCTAACCCATCTAGCCCTAGCAGTCTTAAAAGTCCAGTCATACATTGATAAATGCAGCTTTAATTGGTTTCCAAGATGTGAAAGTTTATCTACTCTTGATCATCCATATCATATATGTTGGTTCCCTTTAGTAGCTGACTATGCATATTTTGAGATACCCCTAAAAAAGAATATGCAGTACTCATGTAAATTTTATTTATAAAAATTTACTATAAAAAAAAGACCACACAAAGCATCTCAACTTATTTCAAAGTTTAGAGATCAATGCATTCTCAGTACAAAATGTAACAAAATTGAATATCCCCTATGCTAAATGCTTGGGAACAGTAATATTTGGATTTCAGATTTTTGGAGGTTTCGGAATATCTATTTACATATACATAAATGAGATATCTTGGGAATGTGATTGGAGTCTAAACACAAATTCATTTATGTGTCTTATAAACTTTATATATATGCTGAAGGTAAGGTTATTCAGTATGTTTAGTACGCCTGCATTTTGACTGTTACCTTATCACATAAGGTGAGGTGTGGAATTTTCCTCTTGTGACTTTGTATCATTGGTCAGAATATTTTATATTTTGAAGCATTGCAGATTAGGATTGTTCAATTTGTAAAACCAGAAATAGACAATAAAAAGAACGATAAACAAATTCTAACTGTTTGATATTTTAAAATATTTATTCCAGTGAAAGGTAAAATCAAATAAAAGACTAGAGCTATTAAAAAAAATAATAAGTGTTACATAGCAAACAAAGCTTCTGGATTCAAACAAAAGCACAGTTCCAAGGAATATTTAGACCTTTAAAGACCTAAAAAATAAAATAACTAAGCATTCATCTCAAAAGAAACTATATGAACAACAATAGCAGAGTATAAATACAGGAATTTATAAACATAAAATGAAATTAATAAATCAGGAAACAATAATTCTCACTAGCAATTATTATTGAGTGTCTACTGTATTTGAGATGTTATATCAAGAGCTTAACTCATTTAGTACTGTATGATCTCCCTTCTATATATGAAGGAACTGAAGTAACTGAAAAGTAAGCAACTTTCTTACAATAACACAGTTCATGAATAGCAGAAGCAATACTGGCATTCCATCACATTTGTTGTCACTGGGCTTATTATCAGGTCCAGAGCTCAAGCATTCACTCCCTGTCCACTTCTCTTCCACTGCTATGCTGAAAAGTTTCTTGGTTTAAACCATATGATACTAATTTTCAGTATATGACAATCATGTTCATTTGATGCTATCTCCCAAACCATAAATGGTCAGTTTTAATGTGTATACCTTCACATGGAGATAAAAATGGAAAACTGTGCCTAAAATAAGTTTAACAATTTACATATTTTACCTAATAAGCTGTAATCAAATTTTGCTACTTTCTTTCTAATTTACTTTTTTAAAAATTGCTATAAACTTTTGTATGTGGAATTCTAAGTTTTCTTTTTCTCCATTTTAATTGACAAATAATATCTATATTTATGGGATAAATGTGAGATATTTCATTACATGCATACATTATAAAATGTTTTCTGCATATAAATGAGGTTATGCAATATTTGTCTCAGTCCCTGACTTATTTCTATTAGCATAACATCCTCTATATTCATTTCATGTTGTTGCAAAAGCAAGTATTTTGTTCTTTCTTATGGCTGAATATATTACATTGTATATATACCACATTTTTTTAATCCATTTATCTGTCAATGAACATTTAGATTGTTTCCATAATTTTGCTATTATAAGCACTGCTACAGTGAATATGGGGAGTTCCATATACTGGTTTCAGTTTCTTTGGGTATATAACCAGTAGTAGGATTGTTGGATCATATAGTAAATCTATGTTTAGTTTTGTTAGGATCCTACATACTGTTTTTCAAAATGTCTTTAGTAATTTAAATTCCTACCAGTATTGCACAAAGGTTCGCTTCACATCCTCATGACTGCCTCTTAATTATATTTTTTCATTACTATGTATGTTAAAATCTTCTTGCCACAAAGCTGCAAGCAAACAAAGGCACAGGAGTTGAGAAAACTGGTAAATTTTATTTTACTTATTTTTCAGATCTACTTAAAGTATTACAAAGGCTAACATCAGTGTCTCAAATGAAAGGCTTGTATTCTGTGTAGTTTTAATTTTTCCTTAATACTCCCTATCATCCAGTGACATAAATTGAGATTTGACCTTTCTTGGGTGGGAAGAGAATATATGCAAGCTCATCTGCCTGCATATGTGTAACAGACAAGTTTATTTAACCATTGAAAAGGAATGCTGTTTTCAAAATATGGTCACACATAATAAATAAAGATGACCTGATGTTCCAGCCCCTGTCAGTTGTACTGTAAAGCCCCCATCATACCACATCCAAAGTAAAACTTCTATTAGTGAAGATTTTGCCCATTGTTCCTCAGCTGCTCACGATTTCTGTTTATATTCCTATGCATGTGTGTATTTTATATATATGTGTGTGTGTAGTGTGTGCAAATACATACCTATATATATATAAGGATATATAAATTTTGTATAAATATGTGTGCACACACATACATATATACATTTGCTTGTTCAAATGTATATAAACAGATGTGCTGCTTTCGTAAAGTATAATATATTCCAAGTTGAGTTCTGGATTCAATTTGTATTTTCAGTTTTAGTCTTCGTTTTTCCCCTGAGAAAGCTTTTAAATATTTCTAGGGCAAAATTTTGTGATAGTTTCAGCTGTCCCTGCAACCACTTTCATTATTTGTGTCATTATTACTGCTGCATAATCTGAACATAAAAAAACATGGTGCTGTAACAAATGACTTCTCAGTACTGACAGTTATAGCAGCAGCATTCAATACTGATGAAAAATTTCCCAGCGAGATATCTGGCCAGGTTTACATAAACCAAACAGGAAATGGCTGCCACTATTCACATTAAATGCAAACTGTTTGATGTAACTTTTGCTATGTTTTACATTACTATAAAATCTCTTTCATTCCCAATTGATGAAATTTCAACTGTATTAATGTTGAAAAAAGATAACTTTGAGATTTCATGTCTGGTGTTCTTGTTTGTTCTTTAATAATATCTTGTAAAGATAATTTTTGAAAAGTTCTAGTTTTCAATTGTTTAAATTTTATGAACTTTTTAAATTTTTATGACAGGGAGAGGTTTGTTATGACTTTGTCCCAATGGACTGCTAATAGAAGTTAGCCTGTCTAGCCCATGTGCTAGATGCTGTCAGTATCAAACTGCCTTTGACTTTCACACCTCTCAGGGGACTAGTAATTGTTGTGTTCAAACAGCCTGTAATTGTGATCCCGCTGGCTTTCTCAGTACGCTTCTGGCTATTAGAATCATTAAACAACTCAGCACCTGTTAACAGCATTGTAAATATTCAACCCTGCTTGTGTGCAGGTTGAGTCCAATATAGAGAAATCTTACAGAGCTCAGTCTCATAAATTAGAGCTTCTGACAAGTCAATTATTGTGAAACTGGGTTTCTCTGTGAAATAAATGAAATAGCATGCTGACAAAAAGGTAGGCTGTCTGTTTATAGCAAAGGGAAAATAATGACTTGATGATTCAAAGCACTGGGCATGAAACTACATTGTATCCTTTATCTGTAATTAAACAGTTGCATAAATTTTCTGTTTAAACAACCTGTAAATTATAAATTTTATACTGTGGAGAATACAACATGAAAACAGACCTTTTTACTTAGCTATTGTATGCTTTTTCAAGTTGGTAAAGGGATTATTGAAATGAATGATAAGTAATATTTTAAGATGAATGCTTATACTTGTTCAGGCTAGAAATTGTATAATAGCTGAAAAGTTCATTCAACAGAAGTAAAGGCCATATTGTGCTTTAAATACAGATCATATAAATCTAAACTCCATTCTTTACTCACACAAAAGTGTCCAAGTATATGAACTCTAAAGTGTCGAATATATGAACTCTCAAAAATCTGTGTATCTTAAAAAGTAATTTAATTTAAATTTAGTTTTATTATTTTACTATGATTGCAAATTATATAGCTAATTAAGATGTAACATTTTAATTTTAAAGGATTTAAAAATTTTAAGTGACCTTAGCCTTCATTTCAAGTGCTAGCAAAGAATATTTGGAAAAGATCAGTGAAGTTCAGTTACCTGAATTGAATTTTGTACCGCTTCTTGTAAATTCACTAGGATTTTGGTGAGCAAATTTGGGAATAAAATTTTAAAATGAATATCAATGATTTTTATGCTTTCCTATTCAAATAACTATTAAATTTTAATAAGCTAGATTATTAGTAATATTTTAATAAGATCATCAGATAGTGTGTTATAGAGAGACATAATTTTAGTTGGCTTTTCTTTGTTTTGCCAAATTATGTTTAAATGTTTACACTAACTGTATTATCTAGGTGAAAGCTATTATTGTTCATTTAAAAAAAAAAAAAACAAAAAAGTCTCTTAATAGACTTAAACAAACTTTAGAATATTAACCCATCCAAATGCATTTTGTAAGTACAATGAATAAAATAGCATTAAATAAAACATAGTGAATTAAATAAATATTAAAAAGAACTGTAATTTTTAAGGAAACTTTTTATTATTAATTGGTTTAACTATTATTAGTAAGCATACCAAGTTTATTTATTCATGCATAAAATGGCAAAGTTGGCATTCCAGTTATATCTGTGGTAGATTACAATAATCAGCATCATCCACGAGTTTTTTTCAAATAACTTAATAAATTTATAAACAAAATGAAATTTTATTTTTTGATAATATTATTTTTTATAATTTTAACTGCATGAAGAATTAGATTCTTATGCTACAAGTGGTACTACTTATATATTATCTTGGGCAAATTTTTACTAGTGTTTTCAATTTAGAATACCTTTATCAACTATGTATTAGTCTAGACAGCTACAAATAGTATTGGAAAATTTATAGGCTCAGTGAGCCAAAAGAATGTGATGTATGAAGTCAACACTTATATTGCAGAAAGTTTGACTGTAAAGTTCACTTCCTGGGGAAAAAAAAAAGAAAGAGAAAAAATATCTTTGATAATTTAGAATGACTTTGAGAATCTGTCTCTTTTATGAGGCTATAAAGATCCACAATTTTTATTTTTACCTCTGAAGCAGAAAACTAAATACTTCGGCTTAGTGATTTTCCAGGGCAAAGGAAATATTTTCTACCTTTTTTCTAATGCTGGTGTTTGTGTTTCACTTTGATATATACCTAGTTGGGCATAATTTAAACATTTTGTTTAGATTAATGATAGCACTGGGTTTAGTACTTCATTGATAAACACTGCTTTATTTCAGTTCATGACAAGAGGATTTGTTTAGGAAAAGCAATAATTTTTCCACAGACTAAAAGTAACTACTCCTTTTTTCTGAAAAGTTGTTTTACCAAGTAAATTCTATTATATTATTTATCTTTATTCAGTGAAGATTCTTGAATTTAGAATACTTAGCATTTGAACTAACTTCTCTTTGTAATGGAAATATATCCTGACATGATTTCAGACCTACTTCAATGTAATTTTCATCCTGTACTGTCTTTAAGTCTTTTGCTTTGGAGAAAGGAAAACAAAATCCCCAAAAGAGTCATCTGCTCAGATTTTCTATACCTCAGGTGTGTTTTCTTTTAGGCTTCTACCATATGAGATTGCTTAGCACCCTTTTTCACTTTCTGGTCCTATACAGATGTAAAACTGCCATCATGGGTTTTAATTAGAACCTGATCTAAGGTTCTAAGACCACTTTCTGCTTCTACTCCTCTATTTACATGAGGGCAGGGGAGGTAGGGTATATAAATTCTTCATGCCTACTAGGGTACAGAGTTCATCCAGTAAGAATTAGAAAACTGCCATGACAATGGGTCCTTCACCTTTTGGATCATTTCCCAGGCCCAGATTCTTAGTGATTTGTCAAGAACCTCTCTCTCTGAGTTGTAGGGAAGAGTATTCAGATGAATTGTATGTCCTTAGGATTTTTATTTGGAAAATATACAAAGCTGTGTATATGTATTTTCTGTATGTTATTTTTAGCTTGATGATGTCCCTTCTAGTTGTTAGGATGACAGTTGTTCCTTATGCACTAGAGGAACAATAACTGACTACATTACCTAGAAGAACTATCACCCATATCACTATTCTATTTTGTAAAATTATTGGGATTAGTTCATATAGTAAAAGGGAACAAGATTTATATATTTATTTATATATTTACATACATAAATACATTTACATATATTTCATATTTCCAGCTTTCTAAATTCAGGGCATAATTTGGTGTACATGATTAAAATGACACAATACTAGTTATAACATGGGAAACAGTTTCTCTTTAAATGTGATGCAGGATTTTATATCCTCATCTTATATATTTTTAATGTATTATCATTTTCATCATTGTCAACAAAGCTTCACATGAGACCTTTGATTTGTAAATCAGGAATGATAATTACAGTTGCTTTATTTCTCTGATTTACTGTAAATGTAATTTGTGTTTTTGAAATTCTGAAGAGATCATAAAACTAAGGTGATATTTTTGGTAGAAAATACCTTGATACTAATAATAACCTTGCTTGTTTTCTAGCTACTACAATTTAGGTGATGTGAGCCATGATTCTGTAAACAAGTTTCTGTCCCATCTGATTGAAAAGTCCCTGGTTGAGTTGGAACTTTCCTACTGTATTGAAATTGGAGAGGTACGACTTGGTTATATATATATATATATATATATATATGTACATATATATTCTAATTACCTAGCTTTTCAAAAACAGGGCTTTTGGTTCTAGTACTACCAAATTTGTACCAAAACTTTTGCATTAGCAACCTGCAGTATGAATTATTAGTTTTATGAAGATATGTAATTCCATTGTACTTTTTACTAATGTCATTTTTATCCTTTGGAACAGGATAATCGGAGCATTGAGCCTCTCACATACGGCCGAATTGCCTCCTATTACTATTTGAAGCACCAAACCGTTAAAATGTTCAAGGACCGTTTGAAACCTGAATGCACTATTGAAGAATTGCTGTCAATTCTGAGTGTGAGTTTCATGATATTATTGTATTGTTTCTATATATTTCAGACTTTCTCTTTTAATTTGTCCTGAGTTTTTGCCATCCAGTTCTTGAAATTTGACAGAAATGTTCATGAAGTCCTTCCTTCTGTCAAACAAGGCTACTACAAAGTTTCCTGTTTAGACCAATTTCCCCATAAATAAAGGTGATTCCATAATTAATTTATTATTCAAACTTGGATCCTTCTATCGGTGGAAGGGCATTATTAATATTTAAGCCAGAATTAAAGGTAGAAGCTGGACTTTCCTGAGCAAGCCTTTGACATTGTAGCCTCTTTGAATTCAAAACTTTTCCTATTGCTTCTTTTGGATAGTTGCTGTTGAATACTTAACTATGATGTTATTGAAGTTTCTTTACTTAAAGATCTGCATGATTTAAGTCTTCTTAGAATTAATGCCAAAGAGCTGTTTAAACCCTACACCCAACCCCACCAAGTTCCTTTACAAAAAAAAAAAAAAGAAGTTTCATATGGTAAAAACTATCCTATGACCATTTTTACATTTTTGCTTAGAAGCTAAACAATAGATTTAATATGGAAGTTTACGTTTTTATTACAACTCTTCTCCATCTGCCTTTCTACATAGCATACACTTTATTTATCTATTTATTATTTTTTACTTTGTTGAACTGAAGTGTGTTAATTTGCCATTAAACTTTGTTGCCATATTAGTCAAAGTGTGTGTGTATGTGTTTGTGTGTGTGTGTGTGTGTGTATTCATTATTTTATTCTTCAGGTGTACTGGTGCTTTTTTTAAAAAAAAGTTAACCCCATTCGAGTATAACATTTTTTAGGTGTTTCTCATCTAAATTCACTGATTCTTTGGTAGTTTGCTTATTAATTTTTTTTCCTTTCTCTCCTATTGCTTTGTTATTCACAATGAACATTGATATCTCACTCACAGATTTTTAATTTCTCAATTCTTTCCCTCTAAGAAACTTCTGTATAGATTTTATGCCTACCATAAGGCCTGGAACATTATAATGAATCAGAACATGTTTATTAATGAATCAGTTGATGGATAGAAAGATGGATGAATTGATGCTGTATAAATTAGATTTTTACTGTGTGTAGAAAAGAATATATGATTTTAAATATATGATGCAGCTATCAAAAACATTGGTCTTTGAGAAATTAAAAGTTTATTTCTGAGAGACGAGTATTTAAAAAGGATGAGATTGTGTCATCTCCTAGTCAAAAGATTCATAAAAATCGGATTTCTCTGGTGAGAAGACTGTTAGAAAACTGCCATGACAATGGATTTAGAATGTTGTTAATGATTTTGGGTATACATCTTAAGTTACTCTCTCAGATTTGAGAATATAATTTTTATTTCATATTGTCTTAGTTCATTTTGTATTGCTATAACAAATACCCAAGTCAACCCATTTTGGTCATAATGGCCATTTTGTCTCATGATTTTGGGACTAAAATTTCCAAGCTTCAGCAGCTACATCTGGGGGGGGACCTCATACTCCATACTAACATGGCAAATGCAGCACATATTTGAAGTATATGCAAGACCTGTGAGGGATATATTTAGAAGAGACCAAGCACATGGAATGACCACACATTATAGACACCTTTTCTTAAAATAACTTACCAGGTCCTGTGAAAACTATCCCACTTCTATAATACAGGCATTAATCCCCACCAAGACTGGTACCCCATGATCTAATTACCTCCCACCAGGTCCCACTTCTTAAGGTCTCAACACATTTTATACTATTACATTATTTTAAAATATGTCACAGATTAATTTAACCAGTTGCTACCCTATTGTGCTAAAGAAGAAACAGAAGTGATTCCTTCTCTCTATTTTTTTAAGATTTTTTTTTAATTCTTATTTTTAGTTGTTGATGGACCTTTTTTTTATTTATTGATATGTGGTGCTGAGAATCAAACCCAGCGCCTCAAGCGTGCTAGGCAAATGCTCTGCCGCTGAGCCACAACCCAACCCCTTCACTCTATTTTTGATGCACCTTATTTAACTTCTTTCTATTCTGCCTCTTTACTACCCTAACTAGTCTCTACTGAATCCTCTTCTACTTGTTCTATTTCAAGATTGATTAGTTTCCTAAAATGAGTAAAAACTGATGGTATTTTTCTGTGTCTGGCTTGTATGACTTAATATAATGACCTCCAGTTCCATCCATGTTGCTACAAATAGCAGGATTTCATTCTTTTTATGGTGGAATAGTATTTCATTCTTTTTATGGTAGAATAGTATTCCATGGTATACAATTCCATTGTATGCCATTGTGTACCACATTTTCTTTATCCATTTATCCACTGAAGGGTATCTGGGTTGATTTCATATTTTGACTATTGTGAACAGTACTACAGAAAACATGAGAGTGGACAGATCTTCTTGGTATAATGATTTCATCATCTTTAGGTATACACATGGTAATGGAATTGCTGGATCATTTGGTAATTCTGTTTTAAGTTTTTTGAGGACTATCCTTACTGTTTTTTCTATAATGGCTATGCTAATTTATATTATAACCAACAATGTATAAGAGTTTCCCTTCTCTGCATTCTTTTCAGCATTTATTTTTTGTCTTTTCTATATTAAACACACAACTTCTTTTTAAGTAGAGATATAATTATTTTAACTTTATAGTATTTATCAGATGCTACCTTTTCTTTCAAAAATTAAAGAAAGGATTTAACCAGGTCACCTTATCATATACTTTCTTTCAGTGTTTTGGGCACTGCAAGCTTCTATTTTTAAGCATTCCATAGCAGAAAGTACATAGACAGGTTTGGTAAAAGTTCCATATAGATCCATTCATACCTCATCAAATACATTTTTTTTCTCTTGTAAAACCTCTTTTGAGGCTTCTGTTTTCACTTTTCTTTCCTTGAAGTTAAACTCTTTCTGTCTTGCATTTTTTGATACTATGTTTTTTCCTCTATCAGTAGGATGGGTGGAATCAATCTAATAGTTTTCAGAGTGGTATTATATTAATATCATGCTATTGACCAGTCAGAAGTGACAGCAACAGGTAGAGTCTGAGTTTACAGATAAAACTGAATTCTTGCAGATATAAGGATTTAATAATCAAGTTCTTAGCAAAAAGCGATTTTTCTAAAGAAATTACTTTAGAGTATGTTGAAGCTGATTTATTCTTTATATGTTATTTCCATTTTTTCATATTAAAAATCTTGGTCACCCTCTTACCCACAAACAGTATAATGATTCATAAAAAAATATTATTTCATATCTTCACTGTGTAAGTCACTTTCTGAGGTTAGGGTATAAAACAGTTAATATTATTGACAAGCTTCCTATATAAATGTGTGTGTGTATGTGTGTGTGTTTCTATATACTAATACATAGAAAAACTGTGAGTCATAGTAATAAACCATGGAAGGCACTTGTGTATTGCTGATGACTCCAGTCATCAGCTCACTGTGATGCTCTAAGAATTGCAGTATAATGTGGCTCATAATTTAAAAAGAATATCTAAAAACAAAGCAAGGTGTAGTATTCTGTCCTTCATGTTAATCTTCTCTTTACAGAATAGATTTACTATATATATTTCTGTTAGTCTCACATTAAACAGACCTCAAGAAGAAAATCTGAATGGCCCAAAGTGAGCTACTCGAATGATAGAAGACGTGTGAGTAGAGCCCTTTTAGTCTGAACAACAAAGTCTTTGAGGCAAAGACTTTGTTGATCAGACTAAAAATTTAACCAAAATTAAAATAATGAGTCATTTGAATAGAGGCCTCTTTGTGTCTTGAACACAAATAACAAAAAGTGTGACTTTTTCACAGTTGGTGGGTGGTTCTATCTGATTCTCAGAGAACTTATATTTCAATTGATGAATATAGGCCAAAAATGTATTTTAAAAGGGTTGGAATAAATTTATTGAGACCTGCTAAAGAACCAAAAAGGAAATTGTGTTAGCCCCATTGTTATGAGATTCATTTCTCTGAAGACCAAAGAAGGCATAGATCCATACTGGACTTTCTTGGTCTTTGCATGGTTTATTCTCTTGGCCCTCTAGGTACTTAGGAATCTTTTTTATTCTCCAGAATATTATGAACTTTTCTTTCTTTCTTTCTTTCTTTTTTTTTTTTTTTTTTGGCAAGTTGTTGTACTTTCGAGTACTAATTCTGGCTGATTTTACTTTATTATATGAAAATCTTTATTCCAGCCAACATTGAAAATGAATAGACTTCTGCTACTACTTTTTTTTCTCTTGTAAAACCTCTTTTGAGGCTTCTATTTTCACTTTTCTTTCCTTGAAGTTAAACTCTTTCTGTTTTGCATTTTTTGATACCATTATCTTTAAGTGATATTAAAATATTCTATTCTAGGTGTAAGGCCAAAGATCATACTGGGACTGTTTCTTTTCTTTCTCTTTATTAGTTGTATTCTACAGTTGTAACCCACTTAGTTAAATCTTGTCTTTCCAAAACATCCATTAAAAAATAATTTTTATTGAGCACCTACCATGTTCCAGAAATTTTATATACATTATTTATAAGCATCAAACAACCCTTCATGGTAAGTGTTAACATACAGATAATGAGGTTGAATTATAATAAAATGAAGGTATTTTGTGTCATATAGAATTTTTTCTCCTATGCCTACCCTTCTTTTTTCTCCTTGACTCAATTCTAAGCATATATGTTTTTAAAAAATAAAGAATGGAAGTTGCTTTTAAAATTTATACCTAGAATCATAGGTATTAAAAGCAGATATTAATTACTTGAAAAAAAAATTATTTCAGCATTCTTTATTGGAGACATATATTTTACATTTTAAACGATCTGATGCTATTTTGAAAAGGCTAGGTATTCTGAAAGAACCCTTGCCAAGTTTTTTTCAACACCATGCATTAATAAGCTTCATAATGAAGGCAGCTGCTTCACACCTCTATTGTTAACCAGTGACATTACATCTGTCTGGCTCCATTGATGCCCTCCTCCTACTTATTGAAGCATTTAGCA